AAGAAGTGGCACGGGGGATACCTCCTCGCGACTTATGTTCTCCTGATACAAATTTCCAAAATTGGTGTGTGGAATTTCAAAAATCTCGCCCGGGAATTCTTGGAAAATGATGTCAGCCAAATTCCAAGAAGTGGCACGGAGGATTCCTCCTCACCACTTATGTTCTCCTGATACAAATTTCCAAAATTGCTCTGTGGAATTTCAAAAATCCCGCCCGGGAATTCTTGGAAATGACGTCAGCAAAATTCCAAGATGTGGCACAGAGAATACCTCCTCATAATGTATGTTCTCCTGACAGAAATTCTCAGTATTTTTTTTTTTATTTTTTATTTTTTAAAATTTGGGACAATTTTTGGGGATTGGAATAACGGGATTTATAAGTAAATAAATACGCAAATACATGTTTTTATTCATTTTTATTTTCAAACACTTATGTACATCGAATGACTTAATTTATTTTATTAATAGGTAGATATATTATTGATACTTAATTCTAGGACGGAATTATCGTAACAATTTCATATTAGTGTGCGCTGTAGTACAGGATCTTGTAAGAAGGTAATAAAAATCTGTTGAGAGAATAAGGAGAATGTAGCAATTAATTTGCTTCTAAAAAGTTGAAGATGACTGTAAGTTATGGTAGAAAATGTGGTGAATACATAAATCGGGCGATTGCTTTCTTGCACTGTATTGAATGTCGTTCACATTAGGCCATTTTGGCATGTACTTGCCTCATCTGAACGCCCCCTTATGCAGCTTCGACATAGCGCCATCTAGCAGTTATACGCGGAACTTTAATTAAATGACGTTCATATTACGCGATTTTGACTGGTACTTGCCTAATCTGAACGCCCCCTTATGGCGGTTCGCCGCAGCGCCATCTAGCAGTGATACGCTGAACTACAATAGAAACTTCGCTGATGGTATATTACCATTGAAGTGTACACAATTAATTACCGACAGAATCCGGTCGGTACCTTGAACGTGTTCATCATAGTTTAGCAGTTTGTTGCTAGATGGCGTTGCCAACAGCATATATTTATAACACATAATTGTAATATGTACTACAAATAGGACATTAAGATTATGTATAAGACTTGTTTGTATTGATGCATAAGAGTTTATATAAAAATATAATTTATGTACTTCTTACAGAACTAAAGAAAATAACAAATACTGAAAAAAGTATTTTATTTATTTTATGTCCTTCATTACATTATATTTTCCACATGGCAGTTGTATTGCAATGACATACAATGATTTTAATTTCTTGTTTCTAATTCCTGTACGAGTTTATAATTTTCCATTAGATATTTTGCATCCACGAATTTAAGGTTACTATTAATTTGGAAGTTATGAGTGAAAATTTGAAATTTAATTTTATATTATATTGCTAATGATAACATTATTTATAATAGAAGTGGTACATATGAATTAAACAATGTACAGAATCAAATGAATTTTATATAATAATAAAAGTAATTTGTAATTGTAATAGCAGTGATTGCCTATGTCATTATTTGACAGAATTTATTTATAAAATAATGTTTAAAATCTCAATGTGTATCCAAATATTTGGCTAACTGATGAAAATTAGCAACTGATTAAACTAAAATATATTACAAAATTATTTGGATAATCACCATGCATTAATCCATTGAAGTTGTCGCAAAAATTTTCATGATAAAATGTGGACCATAGAAAACAGATTGGATCAAAAATTGTTTTAATTTAAAAGGATCAGAAAGATTTTTTTGGAAGAATTAAAAGAAAGATGAAATAAAATATTTTCTTCTGCACCCCAAAATTTTAAAGAAGTGTTATTGCTCATATTTAATACAGAAAATAGTGTTCTTTTTAAATCAATATTTTTAAAAAATTTAATTTCAGTTATATTTCATAAATGTTACAATACCTTAATACGAGATTTGATATTCTAATGTACATGAATATTATGGCATTTATAGCAATTATTTAATGTTGTCTAAGTAATATATATCAATGTATCTTATTGTATTTTAAACACTAAACATTGTAATAGCACTTATATAGTATACATATTATTTAATTCATGAATCTACATAATAGTATTTGTGATTACGTGTTTTGTAATAACAATAATACATGTGTTTGAACCTTTGCAAAAATTTTTATGAAATTTAATTAAATACTGTAAAGAATATTGAATATATTTTTATAATAATTTTGTATGTAATTTTTTAGTATTTAATTTATAACAAACTATCTTAATTGAAATATAATCTATTATAATTATATATCAACATATAAAAATAGGATATGAAAATAAAACAGCAAAATGGTTGTTATGACTATACAATTTTGTCAAATAGGACTATTATACTTTTCTATTTTTTTGATTCCATATTTGAAATCATATTTCATAAATTGCACAAGCAAATCTTATATCAAAATAGTATTGAATCACAAGAGTTTCTGCGACGAACTCCGGATTAGTAATGAATGGTGATAAATAATTGAAAATGATCTAGAAAATTTCTAAGCACAATGTGTTTAGATCATAGTGTAAAATCATATTAAGATAAACTACTTACATTATTACTGATTAATAGAAAAACATAGTACGAATGATGATAACTGAAATGTTGCGAGGTTATGATATAAACAGAAATTTTGTTATTAACAAAATATGATGACAGAAGAGATGAGTTCTTTTTATTTTAGTGGACTATTATTATTAAATGTTTCAGCTGCCTCTAGTTTCTGTTGATGCTGCTTCTTCACCTCGCTGCATTTTTAACCATTCAACAAATTCGTCAAGCATTACTGGCCCTAAAACAATAACGTATATGATAAATATATATGATATAAGACACATTTTGTAGAGAGTAATATCAAACTACATACATGCTCCATCTAAGTCATAATTTGATAAGTCATGATTGATTGTACGAGAAAACTCTAAAATGTTGCACCATTGATCTTTATTAATAACTTTGTACTTCGACTGATCTAGGAACTGAGCAAACTGTGTGAATAGTGGCCAATGTTTTCCTAAAAGCAACTGTAACATAACTCTTGCTGTTTCCATATCCATACTTCTTTGATCTTTGTCCTGAAATATAATAGTATTAACAGTATATTAATAATATTAAGTATTAACATATATATATTCCAAAATTATTATACAAAAGGTAATGTTTACTCTAGCAAAATCATAAGCATATCTGTAAATTCCTTTAAACGTATGTGGATCATTTAATTGAATCCTTAGGTACTCAAGTTTTTGTTGTATTTTACTAATAGAATCACACTGTAATTCCGAGAGGCCTTTTAACCATTCGCTTAGTGTGAAGAAACCCATTTGTCTGGCATTCATTTTATATGCAAGGACGAGCATAACTACATTTTCAGGTTCTACACCTATATCTTCACAAAACTTTTCCATTCCTTCAGGACCAAGTGTGTCAGAATCGTCAGGTGTTGTATATTCCCTAAACCATGTAATACACCGTTTTTGAGAAAAGGATGAGGCGCTTGAGACATCTTCTGTTTTTGTATAACGTCTTGCACTGAAAAACAAAAACATATTACTATTTTTACTGATACAGCAACATCGCTGCAAAAGCTTTACTGTCATTATTGATCGATACAGTTAAGATATCAACATATACTAAAGGAATTTGATATACCTAGATGTATGTCTGAGGCGTTTTGATGGATGCCTTGGTATACCCTCCTCGTGGGCACTAGGTGACATTTCAATAGACGTATGATGATTTGTGCTAGAGGGCGCTCTACGCTTGCTGCGTGGCATCCCTCTTTTAACTATAAAGATAATTAAATCTTTGTTTAAACATATGCAGATTAATTATGATTAATATTTTAATGTCTTTTAAATAATGAACTTAAAAGATAGAAACATATTACTTTTAATTGTGTATAATGAAACCACAACAGTTATGTAGTTAGAATCACTTAGATTAATATTCAGAATAACATTTATATTCTATAAACAATAATATATATTTTCAATGAAGATTTATATGTTCTTTAGACAAGACAATACTACCTGCATCAATATTAGGAAAAAAATATACATTATTTGTACATTGGTAAAACATAATCCTAACAATTAGTTTAAAAATATATTTATAAATATAAAAATAATGTGTATGAGAATATAATACATAACAACGATTAATTACTTACCACGCAGCAAAGACGTGAATAATATAAAAATTAGAAAGATTCAGTGGGTCCGTAATATAACTAATTTACACTAGCTAAACTGACATCTCCTTCCCGTTTTAGAGTATTGAGTTTCAGGTTAGGTTCAACAATTATTGCAGTGCTACGTAATTTTGAACTTTCCTTACTTTGGTTTCAACTGCTTTACACATGTGATATACAAGTAAATACTTAAGAATTATTAGTATGCTCTGCAAAAAGGACTAATTATTCTCAAAATGTAAAAACAGGATTACGTTATTATATCATAGAGCTTATTTATGGAAATTGTTTTTCACTGCGACATGAGTCACATTTTAATATTAGATCCTCGCATAAAACGTACATTGACGATTACTTTATAATTAGTTCAAAATATATAAATGTACGATGAATTGAAGAGACCCTCCCTACCTTGTTGAACAAACCACTAGAGCAATTGTACCAGAAATGTATTTCTCACAGTCAAAAGTCAACATCAATATAAAACTTGTTTTGTAGTTCAGTCTATAAAAATAATATTTAACATTGTGTCAGTGTCATCAAATATTTCGCTAATTTATTAATTTTTATATTTTGTACTACCTAAACGATGCACGGTTAAATAAAATTTTTTCGCAGATCCGCTTTATTTCATTTTATTGCCGTTTTGAGATAGCATGCCTTTTCAGCAGGGCTACCAAACGCGATATTCATTTTTCACTAGTATGAACAACTGTTAAACAAAAAGTGAATATCATTGTTTTGTTATTATGATAATATATGTTATTTGAATATTATCAGAAATTCATGGTAGATATCTTAATGAAAGAAGGTGCTACAAATCATAAATCATTCTTAACGAAAAAAAATATATGGAAATAATTCTGCTAGTGCATTTTGACTCTTAGTGAGAAAACGCAATAGAAAACACTTTTTACAATAAAATAAACAATTTTTACACTTTATTAACGCGAATAATACAGGTACAATGAAACTGAAATGTTATAGTTCATTTACAGCATTGAAATCGATAATTAAAGGAATTGATATAGGTGTAATAACGTAACACTATATCTATATTGCACAATGAGATACAGTCACTATCATGATATAATGACGTCGTAAATTAAATCACCGTTTTGCAAGTACTCTCGTGGGCATAATTATTAAATTTCCCAGTTAAAAATGTGAAAATCCTAAATTTCCAAATTATCAAGTTATTTTTTTAATTTCTAAAGTTATCAAATTGGAAATTACAGAGTAGAAAAATTTGAGAATTTGAAAAATTTTAATTTGTATATTTTTAAATTTCTAGTTATTCAAAATTGAAGAATGCAAATATTTATTTTATTATATTATGCCGTGTTTACATCCCTTAATCGTTATTTATCTTACCATGTTTGTCATTCTTGTCTCAAAGTTTATCTCCTGGCAAACATTGTCCTGAAGCTTCAGGCCGTCTCTGATACGTCGTTGATGAGGAAAAGGACAAGAAGGTATAAGTAATATACAGAACGATAAACTTGTTTTTCTTTTCTTTCTTCATGGCGGTTAAAACCATTCGTTTACAATTCTCATTTTTCAAGTAACAAGATCAATAATCTACGTCGTTCATAAATCATTGCACCGATTGACCCTTCTTCTTACGCGAGGGAATTTCGATTGTTCAAATCGAGGACCGATCTGTGTCCTATTACCGATTACTTCATCCCGCTTCTCGATCGTAGATTTTCTTCAGCGTTATTAACATCTAAAGCTGTTATTTCCCTTCTTTTATACCGTTTAACATTTAACTTAACCCTTTCACTGTTGTCTTCGTGATATCTATAAAATCGATGAAACTTGATAAACAATTTCTTCATTATTTTCAGATTTCAGGATAAAGTTTTGATATCACGATTGGTCGCCTTGATATGATTCTTAGAAACATTCTGCGTAAATAATGTTAAAAACACTATACTATATTTTAAGATAAAAAGTAACAACTTTTGAACGCATTTGCAGTATCTGAATGATATTTTTATGTTATAATAGTACGCCAATGTACTGTTTTAACGTAGAATGTCTCGAAAAATTAATCGCAAACAAAATATGTAACTGCATTTAGAAAAATATTTCGAAAAATTTTTGCTTTGAAACATCTCATATTTTGTAACTCAATATTTTTGTATGTTACGTGTCTCAAAGAACCGATTGCAGTATGCGATACTTGTTCGAAAAATTTGTTTATGCGGCAAATAATTTAGTTCACTGAATTCGTGCTACTTTATACGTTGTTAATAGCGAAAGGGTTAAATAGCGTAATACAATAACTTGCACAGTTATTTTGCGTCAGCAGCGAGTTTGTTCTTATAAAAACTGAAACCACGTGGCGAGTGTTTCTCGACATGGTTGACATGGAAAAGAGAGGGTGAAAATCGAGCAAAATTTAATGAAAAAATACGATTGGTTTTGGGAAAAAATTAATTAATTTGAGAAAAAATTAATTTGGAAATACGTAATAATAAACATGTTACTTCTATATTATTTCTGTTAGGTACATGTTTTTGTAGTATTCGAATCTCTGATATTAAGAATTAAATGTTAACTTTTTTTTATCAATCGTTGATAATTTAAATAATTAATTTCTAGACTATATCGATGAATATATAAAAATTGAACGAAAATCTAAGGAGTTCAAAGAGTATTCCTGACTAATTCAAGAATCAACCCTCTGTAACCCAAACATTTAGCCACCGTTTTTATTTATTGCAACTTCAAGGATATAAAGCAACGTTAATAACAAATCTTTGTACATTGATGTAAGATAAACTTAATAAAATCATTTTCGCTTCTACATATTTTATTAAATACTTATTTGTACTAGAGTTTTAGAATCATAATTATATACAAAATTAAAATAAATAAACCAAACCTTACAAATAATACATATATAAAAAGTCGCTTAAATAGAATGGGTTACAGAGATGTGTATTGCTACTTTCCTTGCATATGTGTTAAAAATTAAAATTAAATATATAAATTATACTTTCGTTTGTAGATACAATGTTAAAAATAAAAGAATTCCTTTCCAGTGTTGATTTTTTCTGTGAATATGATTTTAAAACTGAAAAGAAATCGATATTGGCGTAACTAGAATTTTTGTGCGGGGTGGGTCTAATCCTCTAGTTTTACTAATTTTGGAAATTTGGGAAATTGGGAGTTTGGGAGAATGAGAATTCTGTGATTTGGAAATTTGGGGATTTGGGAATTTGGGAATTTGGGAGTTTGGGAATTTGGAAATTTGAGGATTTGCAAAATTTGGGAATTTGGGAATTTGGGAATTTGGAAATTTGGGAATTTGGGAGTTTGGAAGTTAGGGAATTTGGGAATTTGGGAAATTGAGAATTTGGAAATTTGAGGATTTGGGAATTTGAGGATTTGGGAATTTGGGAATTTGGAAATTTGGAAATTTGGGAATTTAGAAATTTGGGAGTTTGGAAATTTGGGAGTTTGGAAATTTGGGAATTTGGAAATTTGAAAAATTGAGAATTCAGAAACTTAGAAATTTAGAAATTTTAGTACCAGGGAATTTGATATACCCTACGTTCTACGTCCCTTTGAGGGTAATTAATCCCACTTGTAGGGGTCAGACCCACCGCGGACCCATCTATTTACGTCAATAACTCAAATCCTTAAAAGAAAAAGAAACATTATGAATGAAGAGTACTACACTGTACAAAATTAAATTAAACCTATGTATCGATTTATTTCACGAAATTCTTTTCTCCTTAATACAATCTGATAAGTTACAAAATCTTTATCGATCAATTGAAAGTAACGTTAATAATTAAAAATCCTCTGTACAAATTAATCTAAACTTACACTTTTTTTTCTATTCGCTATATTCTATGGCCAACATACAACGTCTCGTTAAAAATTAACTCCACCTGTATTCTGTTCAACCTTGAACAACCGTGTCCAAAAAAACTCCCCACGTGGTATCCGCATCGTCGAACCTATCGATCCTCGATCAGGAAAAGCCTGTCGGGAAAGTTCATCGTAAAAAAGTCACTGTTCCGTTAAAATCGATACAATTAGTTCCAAAACAAAACGCGTATCGTTAGGAATATCGTTAGCATTTATTATTATTAATATTATTGGTTCAGTTTTGATTGGACCGCGCGTACGGCAGACAATTATTAGGTTGTTGTGTGTCGAATGGCCGATCATAAAATTCCTGACACGATTCGATGACACAGCATCGCAAAATGGCTCTTATGTCACAAGTTGAATTTTTATACGACCATTCGTTTATTCAAAATTTAAAAGATTATAAATTATGAAATTTGGACACTTGCATATTTGAAAAAATTTAAAATTTAAAAATGTATTATAGAAATACCAGATCTTAAATTTTTGAAAATTCATAAATTAAAAATTTGTAAATTTAGAAACTGAATACAATATTTGACAAATTTTCATCAAAAGATGGCCAATCTATGGTCGATCTGAATAATTAATCAATCATACAATATTAAAAAAAATGATAGATCGAACCATGTTAACAAAATAACGGTGATTAAAAATTTTCGAAATCATTTCGTCTGCAACAACCTAACGCAATTTTGCCGTTCACAAAATCGACATCAGTCTGTTCACTTGAATCTTACGTTTTACTCGTTAAATCATGGTCGTCGGAGTCTCGCGTGTCCACGTACGATCGTGTGTTTAGAATAAAGAAGCTTCATCAGGAGAGGCACACCGGATACGCGTAGAAAAGTCTCCATTTTTAGCTCGTCTACAGCTCCTATCAAAACGTGGTAGTAGAAAATATCGCGTCTTCATCCGTTTTCTCTTAGACAGTGTAAAAAACCGTGACAACTCGTCGAGACTCCTTTCGAACGCGACTGATAACAGTCCTCGATGGTCCACGGTGATCCCGTTCGCATCGAACAACGAAAAGAAGATACGAAAAAGGAGTTAGTTTCGTAGAGGTCAACGAGAGACCCTTCGGTTGCTGAAATTCCATCGGCGATCGCCTACGTGTAAAAATGGCAGTTCCTCGTTTTCTCTTTTTCTTTTTTCAGAGTCCCGATACGATCGAGGGCTCTTCATGTAGAAAATGATACGACAGAGCATGAGACTTTCATGATTTTATTCAAACGGGATTAAGAGTGATATGATGGAGAAATCAGTTGGTTGTCTGCGGTACTGTTTCCGACCTTGCAGCTTCAACTTACAAGTAAAATGTATCGAGTCGCGATTAACGACAACGTTAAATGAAGATCTCATTTTGCGTGTTCCTAACACGGTTACAAAGTTCGAAATAACGTGAAAATTAAATTCAAACGTTAATAAAAAATGTCATGCAATCAAGTGAAACCAATTGCAAGTCCACGACGAAGTTGTTCGATCGTGTTGCTTCGAGTCTGGTTAGCTCGAACATATTCGCTCGAAGCGTCGAAAAGGAAAATGACGGAAATAGCGTGTAAGAGATCTCGTTGGTCGAGGAAACTGTGTAGACCAGCCTCGACGACGAACGAAGAGCGAATAGAGCCGCGTGTCGCGTTCAATCGAGGTCCATCGAATAGATTATGGTGTTATCGTGTCCACGTCGCGAAGGATACTTCAATATTCGCACGATATCATATAAACATACAGCATCAAAATTCGATACATTGATATAAACGCTCGTACGTGTTTCATTTATATACATACACACCTATGCATGAGGCATCAAAAAGGAAAAGAAACGAAAACAACAACACAATGCGTGTGTTTCCCGACACAATGTCTCTCTATCAGTTTCTCTTACTCTCGCTCTTTATCCTGCGTGTCCGTAAAAAGCACCTTCTTCGTTACAAAATCATCGCGTCAACTATCTACTGCATTCATTCGCATCCAGATGTACAATTCTTCCATCGGAACAACGTGAAAATATCCATTCCACTTTGTGTTTACGGATGCATACCAGCGAACAACATCAGAGATACTTAGCTAAGCCTAGTTAAACTCTGGATACAACTTGCACACAGAAATGTGATCGCGATTCCAGGAGGCTTTGATCGATCACCGAAAAAAGAGAACCGCGATCTTAGGTGTCCCATTGTTGATTTTCCTCGTCGGAGAGAAAAATTGCTCGCAGATCGATTGTCCCCGATCACGAGACAACCAGTAGTAGCTTAAGACTTCTATATCACATCCTCAATATGTGCGGCAGTATTTTCCCTTACGATCTAATTTGATCGGCCATCGAACACTGGGTACCGAGACTGATGTTTGACACCGAACCCGAGAACTCGCAGTATCGATTCGCCGTCATCTCGTTAAAAATTCCCTATCCGATTCAGAGTCTCGGGGCTCTGATTCGATGATCGTTTTCAATTGGCAGTATCGAACAGACTCTCTTGAGACCTTAAATGTACATAGATTATCCTAGAACGGTTCGTAGCCGCTTTAATTCCTGGGCAGACATAAACGATTTCCAGCCAAGCCGATCCCATGCAAACTTTTGACGACGTAGAAAAAGCCGAACTTGATCGCGAGGATAACCGTCCATTCCTTTTTTCCCTCTTCTTGTCCTACTTCGAACGGGAAGCGTGCAACGACGCGGAGAACGATGAACGTGTGTGGACTCGATATATTTAGGACCTCGAAAGGGTGACCGAATCACAGAAAATTCCTCTCGCTCCTTTCGTTAGTGTTTCCACCAGCTGCACAGACAGCAATACCATCGCCTTTCGGGATGGGGCTGAAGTAACTGCTATTGTCAGTGCATCGCCCTCGTGGTGGTCAGATGCGTGGTCTCCGCCCTTTTCGGAGGTGGTGGAGGTGGTCTTCTTTTGCTGGCGATGGCGGTCACGATGTTGATGCTACGATTCTCGTCGGCGAACCTGACGGTGGCTTGTCTGGCTGGGCTGGAAGCGTACTCGACAGGGGCATGGGGATCCGTAGCATAAACGTTTTCGTACAAATTATCGGCTCCGTAGTGTTCCTGAACCCAGTTCGACACGTTGGTTTCCCTATAATCCGCGACTGCAGGCGGTGGATCGCGGAATCCAAGGACTTCATGTGGAGTAGTGGTCGAATCTAACTTGCACTTCTGAGCTACCTGCCATTTCTTCCTCATCACTCTCTGAAGATCCTTCAGAAAATCACCGGGAGGTGCCTGATCGGACGCAGCAAGCTTCTTGGGAGACGTGAGCCTCGTACTGTCCGATCTTCTGGGAGGCATCGGTTTTCTCTGGGGCAAAGCTGGACTTCCTGGTTCCTGCTGAGGCGGAAGATTGAACGAGATCTTTTTCCCGGTGCCTGTTTTCGATTTGGGCGAGGTGGGCGGTTCCTGAATGGTCACTCTGCGCTGTGGCTGAGGACTGGAAGCGGCTTTTAGCTCTGCTAGATAAGGCGGGGCCGCGTAATGACTCGATCCTTGCTTCATGGCACTTCGTCGTACGGTGTCCATATTCGGATTCGGCCTGATGGGTTGCACCGTGGAGTTGTGTTGATGAATGGCTGGATGGGTTCCATACAGCGACTCCACCTTTGAATTTTGCCTGTTGAGGCTTGAACTGTTGTGCTGCTGCGTGCCATAAGCTGGCGGAGGAACGAATGGTGGAGGCGTGGTGAAGTTCGGCGAACTAGGAGCGTACGTTGGTGTGCTCGCGTTGGATCCCGGATAGGAACTGTGCGGAGAGGACATTGAATTTGTCGTGTTGTTCATGTGATGAACATTCTGTGCATTAGCGTTATAGTTCTGGCTGTTCGAATTGGTAGCATTCGAATACATCTGCTGATTGTTCGTCGATCTCGACGAAGTGTGCGTCGGAGTACCCTCGGGAGTGATGGAGTTCGTTGGAGTGGACTGTTTCGGTCGTGCACGCCGAATGGTTCCCGTCTCACCTACCAGAGGACTTGGGGGCGGCGGAAGAGACGCCAAGCTCAACGAAGATCCAGTGAGTTCTGGGGTATTGCACATGGGAAGTTCGCCGGGGGCTGGGGGCGGTGGCAGTGAATCAAGAGAGAGATTCGAGCGGAACATTTCTGGAGGAGGTGGCGGAAGTGGCTCGCTGTCCGATTCTGCTTCTTCGGCGACCCTCGATGGCGACGGTGGTGGCGGTAACGAAGTGATTGAGTCCATCTGTAGAGGAAATTTTAACTTATTTAACTGTCTTAACTTAATTAATTCTAAGGTAAATAAAATTATGGAACAAGTACTGAAGAACCGAAAGAAACGCAATATAATTTTTTGAACAAATCTCAAGTCAAAAATAGGTCATAAATTCTGACACTCATACATCATGAATTCTAAATTAATAAACATTTTCAGTAATACATTAACAAATTATAAAGGCAATACTCACCATACAAGGCGGTATGGGACTAGTAGGAGTCTTCGATTCCTGAATCTCTGATCTATTATATCCCATAGGACTTGCTCGTTCTCTGACCGGCGTACCAGGAGGTACAGGACTAACTGGAGTCGCGTTTCCGGATCGATGGTGTCTCTTTAACGTTCCAGATCCATCTGAGTCAGTACCGCTTCTTCTTCGACTATGCCTTCTGGTTAATGTTCCGGATCCGGAACTCGTCGGACTTGGACAAGAATCTGGCTCATCGCGAACTGTTTCTCCAACTTCCTTCAACTGTCTCGTGATCGATGTGAGGGGTAGTTTTGGATTCATAGAGGGTTTCCTCTTAATGGTTCCCGTTGGAAATTCGCCACACTCGAAAGCTACCTGTGACACATAAGAGAACCATTATACAATTTATTTAAGATTTTTAACAAAGTAAATGTAATTATAAAGAATTTATTAAATTACCTCGCAACTGCTAGGTGCTCCATCAGACAAACACCCGCTGGAACTTGAGCTACTAGCTCTGCTCAGTCTACCATCGTTGTTATAACTCTGTCGTTGTTCAGAGTTGTAGCTCTGCCTCTGCCCATCGTATTGTCTAGCGTTGGCCACTTCTGCGTTATGCCTCGAATTTTCAGTGAATTGGCGAGCATTGTCGTTGGTTGTATTATACTGAGTTTGGTTCTGAGCTGGCACAGCGATCGAGCTAACGGAGCAGGATCTAGCGTGAGCCAACATGTCCAGATCCTCTTGTGCAAGCTCATCGACGAGGGTTCTGTAATTCTCCATCAATTGCCTTCCATATTTGGCCACCCTTATCCCAACCATCCATCGTTCTAAAGACGCATTATCCTCCGCACAGAGAAACTTGATGTACTTGGTAGACTTCGGTTGCTGCAGTCTGGGATGCTTAACGGCGAAACAGAAATCTGTCGGAGCTTTGTACTTCTTTTTCCAGCCAATGCCGTAATAAATTTGATTCACGTCGAATGTAGCCAGACAAACGAGATCACGAGCCGTGCGAGCTTTTTCCTTTGGCCAATAGTAGAGGCCGGATGCTCGTAAAATGAAGTAATACCTTTTCCAACCCTTCTTGCTGTCTGACTTTAGAAACAGTGGTCCTTCGACCTAAAAGTTAAAGTCGTGCGTGAATATACTATAGAATAGTCACGAATATCTTGATCGGAAACAAACTACGAATGTCGGTAGAATTTGTCCTCATAATGATAATATTTTACTAATTCTATCCGGCAATTCTAAATTTAGAAATCTTTTTCTTTCTTTATTAATTTGTTCACGAGGAACGCAATTTACAATTTTATCTCAGTTTGACAGTTCAACTAAATTAGTCCTAACATTGATTAATATAAGATTGAACGTTATTTTTCTCATACTCTAATGTGTACTTCAGAAAAATAAGACAAATAATCAATTACCTCTGGCACTCCAACGTTGCTGCTAGAAAAGAATTCCTCCAGAAGTATATTACGAGAATGATCATCGTATTCGCCGCTGTTCCTGTCGGATGGACCTAAAAGAAATCTTTCTGGAGTAAGAAACAGTTGAGTTTTTTCTGGCCTCTCCACGAACAGCAGTTTGTTCTTCGAGTCTCTCGTCCACAGTAAAAGATTTTCTACGAGCAGCTCGTGGTCCTCGTACACCCTTTCTGAAAATCGAAATTGCAAAAATAAAAGATCCGCGATTCTCCGGGAGCATGACGACGTCGAGCAACGTGTAAAAAAGACATTTACCCATGAAAAGATCAGGCAGATGCTCGACCACCGCCCATTTCGGATCCATTGGCACGTGGTTTTTGTCAGCTAGTAACCTGCATACGTGAGCTACGCTCATTCCTTCGTCCACCAATAAGCTTTTGCCGCTGCCGTCCAAGGTGAACGCTTTGATGAAGAGCTTCTGAACGCTCGCCTCGCGCATCTTCTCCAACGCCAAACGGATTTTCTCCGCCTTGACTCTGCTCGCTGCGTCTTCATCGGGAATAAAAAGGATCGTTAGTTTCTTCTCTTCGAAGTAGTCTATTCAATTTTAAACAGATTCGACTAACGATAATCCTTCGCAGAAGAACCATACATTGATTGCCAAGTTTTTAGACATTAGGAATTATGGGGCAGAAGTTTACTTCATTTGTGAAAGTCACACTGAAATTTTTTGATATTAAACTGCATTTTTTATAAGATATACACAAGAAGTTTCTTCAAATGGAGTAAAGTGTAATTTGAAAAATTTTGCGTTCTTGCAGGCTGTCATTTAAATTAACTCACACAAATATCTTCGAAGATACTGATGACACAAAAATGTATTAGACAGAAGTTATATGATTTTATAGGGAAAATTATGTAGTGAACTATCATTTTCGAAAATATCTAAATAGAAGATATCTGTTTCCGTGTATGTTCGAGTACAATTGTTTAATGTTTCATAAACACTTTTGAGTGAAGAAAAAGATATTTCGAAAGTAAGATAAATTTTGCAGTTAACAGGTAAAATTAAGATTTACCCATAAGCTGGTGAGACTGCTGTTGTGGGGCGGTGTGCATGGCGGTCTGAGGTGGTTTGTGACCGGAACCGCTGCTGCTTGCGGAACTCTCGCTGGACAACATCGACACCGTATCCGAGAACGCACTATCATTGTCAGGACTGTCGGTGCGCATAGCTAGAACAAATATTTGATGGTTGTTAAACGAGTTAAACACGCAAGGCAAATAGCTTGGCCGCACAACTCGAGACAACCATTTCACCTAAAGTAGATAATACAAGTGACAAATGTTAAATTACCTCCTTCATTTTTCCCAATGTCGGTATTGTCACCAGCGGTGATCCTTGTGCTATTGGGTCGTCCTTGTCTCTGCGAATCGGGAGCAGGCGTAGCTGCGATGTCTCCGTCACAGCGGCGCTCCAAAGCGCACAGCTCGCCAAGGATCGCGTCGAGATCGACATCCTGAGAATCTGCAACAATAGCGAAAACAAAAGGAACGCCATTAGCGGTGACAGGAAGAAAATAAATTGAATGACGTGAACGAAGGGGAAGAATAAAAGTTGCTGATACCGAGAATAAAAGTAAAAGAACAGCCGACACGTGTCCAGTTTTTTCCCGGTTATTTATATGGACGGGGAGGACTCTGTCCAACGACTACGATCGATAGAACTAATTAATGGTCGACACGAATTATGAACGATGGATGAAATCAATTTGGCGCTAATTGTACCAGCATCTGGTAAACTTCTGACAAACTATCGACTCGTTCCTCGAACGTGAAACGAGGCCTGATGTACCTGACCTCGTGCAACTAAAGCGAAAGTCCTTCGGTGACGAAGAAACTTCTATTGAGTCATCGTCGTCGATGATTCGATACTACTTTTGATCGTAAAATGCTTTGCAATTTTATTGGGATTCGTGGTTTGAGATTTTTAGGGTGATGCTTTTAGGGGAGAAACATAAGTTTTTTTCATTGAAATCTTGAAATTCAAAAATCCAACAATTTGCAAAATTTAAACTAAAAACGTAGAAACACGAAAAGTCCAAATTTTCAATTTCTAGATGTGAAAATTTATCGTATTTCCATTTGAACAAATTGGATTCGTATTTACTGCGATTACGCGGCAATACTTTTGTTCAGATTAAACCAAGCATTTCTACCGTGAGAAAAAGTTTGTACAGGAAGTTTTTAAAATTCTCTGCAAAAGATAGAATTGTTCTACTAGTTAAGAACCACTTCATATTCGCACTCGTTTCTCGTTTTCCTTTATTTTCTGCAGAGTCCTGTTGCAACAATTTTCCAGGAAACATTGCGCATAAAATCGAAGCTGTACCTATCTTCGGAACACGTTCTCCTGCACAGCGTAATAATCATTGCAGATCGTTAGCCGCACGTGATAATATCGACTTCGTTAAGGTAATTAACGAAATTAGTCTGCAGGTGTTAATGCAGCAAGAAGCAGTCGATGTATCCAAACAGAAACTATTTACAGGAATCGTGTAACAAAAATGATGTGCACTTCCACGCTATAATTAATTGCAAGTTGTTACGAACAATGTTTCATAATCATCAATGGCAATTTATAATGAGCTTATATATCATTTAATTGTCCTTATATGTTAAATAAAAGAATAGAATTGATCACAGGTTAAATAATTCTGCCTTACAACGAATAATTTATAATTATATAACTCGTAATTAATCCTTTATCGTAAGATCAAAAATTGTCATATTGTATCAAGAACTTATTTTTATACGAAATTTACCGGTCTAGAAGAGACAGAAATTCTTGAAACAAGAAATGAATTGAAACTCTCTGAATCTGGTTATTTCTCTTTCACTCTCGATTCTAGTTATTTCATCCTCGGTTAAACTCGCTTACTCCAGCTTTCGTCATGGTTATATTCGCGGGAAAGAGTTACATACATTCGTTGTTCTGCTTTCATAATACAGAATCGCAACGAGCGAACACCAGTTGAGAATGAAATTCTTGCGATCCGAGCGAAGGCGTGAGGCATTCCGAGTGCAACTAAGGGCATCAAGAGTGTGGGCATTTTCAATTCGCGATTCTTCCATTTTGATCGTCCACGTGATATCCCGAGCCGGTCGCACGATCGTGCAGAAAGAACTGACACGAATGGTGATCAATTATTTGCGAATTAGTGTCAAGATCGTTGTTAATTTGGATAATAGGGCATCGTGCGAGCAACAAAAAACGAGTAAATGCGAAAGTAGATTTAAGTGGATTAATACTGGGGCAGTTTACTGGGACAACTTTTTTTGGCAATTTTCTATTTGGTGGTAATATGGATGCATTTCGAATTAATATGAAGATTAATGCATATTGATGATATTGTGGAGGTTTCAATATTTTTATAGAATATTGAGATATTGAGATGTTGAGAATAATAGGAATTTGAGAATTTAGAAATTTGAGACATTGAGAGTTTGAGATTTTGAGACTTTGAGAATTTGGAAATTTGAGAGAGTTTGATACTTTGACAATTTGAGACTTTGTGAGTTTGAGAGTTTGTGAGTTTGTGAGTTTGTGAGTTTGAGAGTTTGAGAGTTTGAGAGTTTGGAAATTTGAGAGAATTTGATACTTTGAGAGTTTGAGAGTTTGTGAGTTTGTGAGTTTGAGAGTTTGAGAGTTTGAGAGTTTAGAAATTTGAGAGAATTTGATACTTTGAGAGTTTGGAAATTTGAGAGAATTTGATACTTTGAGAGTTTGGAAATTTGAGAGAATTTGATACTTTGAAAGTTTGAGAGTTTGGAAATTTGAGAGAGCTTGAGACTTTGAGAGTTGGAAAGTTTGAGAGTTTGAGAGTTTGAGACTTTGAGAGTTTGAAACCTTGAGAGTTTGAGACTTTGAAACTTTGAGATTAGGAGACTTTGAAGACTTGAACCATTTCAAAATTTTCAAACTTGTAACATAAAGTACATAAAACACCCCACATTTCAACCCAATCACATCAATATTTCCACCTGTACATTTTCAATTCAACTGCCAATAACCACATATTGCATCTGCCTCAAGCGACACCTGTCCCCATCAAACGCAATTTGCAAACAGTAATTCCTCTTAAGCAATTTCACAAGTAAAAACGAAAGAGAAATAATTATCATTTCATATGATTTTTTCTTGCAGCTAATATAAAACGTAGAATTCATGCAACGTGCAGGGATATGCAATTCGTGGTATCTTCTTCCACTGGAAAGTCGAATGTCAGCAAGTCAGAAATTCGACACGTGTCGCGAACGAGGTATCGATAAGATTATCCCAGGATTCTTGGGTTTTGTTCTTCTTCGTCGTCGACGACGAGAATTCGCGTGCGGTCACCGCCTAGTCGGACAATTCTGTGCAAGATACCGTCACATTCCACGTTAACGTCGTCATTCATTCCGTCAACCTCTGACGGCGCCTCTGTATTCTGATATTCTCTGAGTAAACGAGTCGATCTTTTGTCTGATTTTAGTTCAAATATTATGATTTAGATCTTTCAGGGAAACTGGTGACTTTCGATACAAAACGGTAATGAATCAATGAGATGTTCATGAGATCAGATGTATTTTTGTCGGTCTTAATTCATGTTGTGGGGAGGTTGGGTGAAAGTTAGATATTTGAGAAGTTGGGGATGCTTCTCGAAATTTGTAAATTTGTAAATTTAATAATATAGTTATTTGAAACTGGGAATTTGATTTGAGTATTTGTGAATTCTAAAGTGAATGTGTAACAATGTATTTAAAGAAAAGTATGTTCTTGGAAGAAGTATCCATTTGTTTAGCAATAAGCTTCAATAACGTTCAAATTTAACTTCTTCGATCGGGCGAAAACTAGAGCTTTCTGTATGTATATGTATACAGTCGTTGATCAACGATAACAATGGGAGCGGAAGTTCCGCAAAATGTATTTATGCTAGGCCAGGAAACTTGGAAAGTGGTTTGCACGAAGCTTCTTACGTTCTGCACGATAATTTATACCAGGAGGGTGTCCCGTTTAGGTTAAGCTAGTTTAGGTGAAAAAAGGAAACGAGAAAATCTAAATTACTTCTACACCAAATTCGTTCCAGTCGAATTTTTGTAAATATAACAAAATTACATCGATGATCCTCAATTTATTTAATGCAAATTATTCGATACAAACCTAATGGAGATTTTATTAATTTTAATGTGTCTCATATTCACTCCAGTATTTCATGTGTTAATTACTGAAATATTGGAAACATTCGCAGGAATATAGGATTGTATTGATTATCACATTTCCAATTCCAGATTCAAGCAAACTCAAGTTTCGGTACGAAATTCTAGTCAAATGTGGATTATGTTACATGATCAGAACATTATCAGCAAAATATAATACGAGAAATATCGTCGATTATTTTTCGCGGGCTCTATAACTTTTGGAGCAGATAAATGTAATATTTAATCGTGTAATAAAGAATAAAGCCGTTAATTAGTCCGCTACGTGTTTTAGTATCTCCTGTTACATCACCCGTTATATTCTTGTTATATTATTACACGTTAAACATCCTATGTATTGGATTATAACGTGTTAGATTTACCACGCGTTATACTGCCACGAGTTAGATTTACCACGCGTTATAGCGCCACGCGTTAGATTTACCACGCGCCAGATTCACCACGCGTTATATCGCCACGCTTCAGATTCACCACGCGTTAGATTCACCACGCGTTATAGCGCCATGCGTTAGATTCACCACGCGTTATATCGCCACGCGTCAGATGCACCACGCATTATATCGCCACGCGTCAGATTCACCACGTGGTATACCGTCACGCATCAAATTCATCACGTGTTATATCGCCACGCGTTATATTACCACGCGTTATATCGCCATGCGTTATATTACCAAGCATTATATCGCCACACGTCAGATTCACCACGCGTCAGATTCACCTCGCGTTATATCGCCACACTCAAAATTCTACATGCGTTATATTACCACTTGCAAGATTAACCCACGCGTTATATTCCTACGCACTAAATTTATTGCCCCTTATATGCGCTAGATTTATCACTCGTCGTATTACCACACGTTATATCGCCACATATCCGATCATGTCACGTTAAATAAAAATAACACGGCGATGGCGTATCACATCAAAACATGAACATCAATAGCATAAAAAATTCATGAGCCACGTAATTTTTTGATGACACAATAACCGATAATTTTAGCAACGTCGGTGGTAATATAACAAGAGTCTACCGTACCCATTTCTCACGTTCGATCACGATGAAATAACACGAGGAACGGTTCTCTCGTAACTCGCGAATAAGCAACGGATTACCGTTAGCAGCAGTTTCACGGTGTCCAATAGTAGGTTTTTACCAGAAACGTTCAATTTGTATGCCCAGAAGGATTCATAGCCGACACAGAAGCACGTGAGTCAGTGTATCGTTAATGCTTAACCACGTTCTCGCTCGTGGCTGCTCGATTCTTTTCGTTGATACGACACGTTTCTGTGTTCGTTGTCGCACGAGGCACGAGAAAACTATCAAATTTTTAGGTAGTCCACGGAACGACCGTGTCGACCATTGAATGTGTGAACGCATTCAGGCTTTAAAAGTCTGTACACACTTTTTGTGGTTGAATAACAGACAATGCTGTCACTGGTAAATGATTGTATTGCTTTACATAGTTTCGTTTTATGATCTATAGCTTGCGGGTGTTCATACAAATTATTCTTTTAAACGCACGTTGGTCGTTTGGGGAGTCAGAATAAAATGTCTTGATTTTTTTTATTTTAGCACTGAGACATTTAGAAATTTATATGTTCTAAAACTTGGGAATATAATTCGGTAATCTTTAGTTTTCAAATTTAGTGATTTTGAAATTTAGAAAATTGGGAATTTAGAAATTCGGTAATTTACAAATTTCAAATCCTCGAATTTTCAAATTTAGAAATTTGATAATTTAAAAGATAATTTGACAATTCAGTTGACAATTTCAGTTGACTAATTTCACAATTTGGTATTTGGAAATTCCGAATTGTCAAATTGCCAATCCATTACTCAGTCACGTGTTTGTGTATCAAAGATGTTATGCGTTAAAGTGAAAGACAATTTATCAGGAGCTTTCTGTTTCGAAGGAAGTTTCTTGACACACCTGTAGTATCATGAAAAGATCTGAATCTAAATAACAGAATACCACGAATCGACAAATCATTCGATAAAAATACGTACATACAGTTAAACGGCAAACTGTTATTTCCAAGGTGTGGTGAGTAACGTGGGCAGAAAATGACGGAGAAATTTACACGCAGTCTTTCCAACGTGGAATGATACATCATTAGAAAAGGTAATTGGTAAAAGTAAATCTTTTACAGCAGCGATCAAGCGGTATATTTTACAGAGATATTTCTTTATAGAGAAATTCATTTTAACCATTATAATTTTGTCAAAGCAACGAAAACACGTAATTCAGTAAATAAATCTCTCATATTTCTTTCAAAAATGCTTTTATTTTAATCAAGCTCCTTAATTTCAAATGAAATGCACATTTTTAGAATTTTATTCTGAATAGTATTTTTTTTTTAAGATCCACATATGAACTTCAAAGCTGGAGTGTACGAAATACATACTCTTTTACTATTTCCGATGACAATTATTTCAGAGTTATATTCCATATAATTATATAATTATTACACGTTAAGAATGTTCATAATTATTAATAAAAATTAATGATGTTTATTCTGTCGATATAATTTATAATAATAACATGAAGCTTCACATTTTTCTCAGTTATATTAATTCCTTGTTACATTAATACCTCGTTGCATCGTGTTGCAAATATGCTATATAAAGTAATATATGACATGAAGAGAAACTTCATGAAGAGAAACTTCATGTTGTATTATGGAACGAAACCATAAATAAATAAACCACAAACAAAATTGCATCATAAATAAAATGCAAATTTCTTAATTAATTAAATTATCAAAAACATCTCCGAATTACATTTCATTCTTCAAATTTTTATTTTATTATTTGAGATTTTAATTTTCACTTTATTATTCAAGATTTTAATTTTAATTTTATTATTTAAGATTTTATATCATTTTCTAAATAGAGCATATTGCAAGAGTTATTGCAATTATTGCAAGAGTTGAAAAATAAATTATTTTCAAAATTGCACCTATCAACTAACAAAGTATTAATATCTCTATTATAAAGATTATACGGAACTTCGTCAAATTATTTCGAATTTAAATTAATTTCCATAAAATTTTCATTTGTAAGGAATAAAATTCACCAATTATTTTCCCGCAAAGTCGCCAATCACAAAAACGAACCTTCGACGGAACAGAAACACTGTGCAACAATTTGCGTACATTCTTCAGAGAACGATCGCGATAACCTGTCTGCGATGAAAGGCCGAGGTAGCTGACGTTGAAAATTATGCATCGATGCAAACAGTCGTTCGACAACGACAGAAAAAATAACAGCAATACGAGCTTATCACAATGAAAGCGATCTCGAGATCCAAATCAGAATTTCGTTCTTGAAACGCCGCGAACACCGCTTTCTATCGCTTTCTCGTAACAGCATCGCGGTATCATACGGTTGAACGAGTAGATTATCTACTCGTTATCATTCTCAACAATGTGCTAATTAAAGGTAACCTACCTCTGCCGGACAGGTAACCCAGTATGCTCTCGTTGCTTCCAAAATTAGCGAGCATCTTCGAAGTCTTTTCAAGTAATTCTTATCAGCATCGATCCTTATCGCGTCATACTCGTCATCCACGTTCGAACTGGTTGGCCAATTAAAAACTGCGTATGGCCACTTCAACTTCGGGTGATCGATCACTATTCACCTTACTCGTTTTCAGTTATTCGATTAAGACACAAAGTAAATTGTTCACTATGGATGCTTGATTGATCACTGTTCTTAAATACCTTTCTCCTATTCGATTACTTGTTTAACCTGGTTGATCAAAATTTAAACTTCAACTGACTAAAATTTGCAGTGGCCGAAAAGACCAGAAGTGTTAGATTCAAAGTATGAACACTTGATTGTTCTCTTATTTTTGACTAGACACGAAGCACATGAGTTCAAATACTAAAATCTGAGGCATCAGGAGTCGTGAGCTAGCTGCTGGTAAACAATGAAGTACCACATACAAAAACGGAATAATGTTTCGTTAAAATATTAATTAAAAATTTGAGGAACAGTATCGACTATCACTGAGAGGTTCACCTGTACAAAGAGGTGAAACTGGAATTGGTAAAATTCGCAACGTTCAGGAAGGCAATAGTGTTCGGTAATAAATCACTGGAACGCTCCAGGTGACTGATCACTGTTTGTAAATATTCTTCTTGTTTATGGCCGTTCACTGAATCGTTTCGCGTTTCGGGAGATAGTAAAAGTTGAATCGGCAGCGATTAATCAACCGTGATCGCGGATAGAAACGCACGATGAATGCTTCGTCCAGATGTATGGCGTGGATCGATGCAAAGGGTATTACGAGAGATAATGAAAGTGTGCGAGCTGACGGAGACACAAAACGCGTGATGTTTACAGCGCGTACGGCAACGCTCGACTAAAGGCCTTAAGGTGAACACACTTGCCTCTTGCCTCGAGAGTTTTCCACCCGAACGCGCTTCACGCTTGCGTGTAGGTGTATACCCGCTCCGCGTATCCGCGCGTCTCCGCTCCAAAGAGGGTTGGACGTGCACGGGGAATTACGCAAACGTCCATTAGACTGCTATTACCGTTCGAAATTATTTCACGCGATCGCTGAGAAAACACCTTCACAACCGCCATTCGTTTATTTGTTAATAAACTTCTTTAGTTGCCGATAAAATATACACTTTATACGTGCTATACGGGTACACGTATGTATATGTAATATGCACATATGTGGAAAATAACGTACAGGGTGTACATGAGAGTATTTTTGTGGAATTTCATGGCTTTGCAAACAGTGAGAAATTTTTCATTTGATACAAGATTTTTAAAAAGCTGTTTTAATAAAATGACTCTCAAAGTACAGTAGTCAATGATATTGTTGATACACTCATTACTGCATGATTTAATCAGAAGAAAGAATGAAATCATCTGTTTCAGAGAAAAAATGTAACGCTTTGTTTGATTTGTATACATTTATAGTTGTAAGTATGATATGTGACAAATGTGTAGTGTATAAATAAGTAATAACATTGTAACAAATGTATGTACTATACATGTACTACCAATAGAATTTAACGACTGTAATAATCACATTTATTGACTTATTACACTCCTGTATTACTGTCACCATTAATGGTTAGCTTTTGTCACAAACAAGTCTCGAAAATATTCAAGCATTCAGCAATATACAGACTAAAAATGTAGAAATAATAAAAAATATCGATATAACAAAATTACATGATTTCAAATTAGTTTTTACAATATAAATGCAGTTGGTTAATAGCACCTCCAGTTATGGAGCACCTTGTACTTTGAATAAATCAAAGAATTAACAGGTGCGTTAAAGATTTCCAAATGGATATAAATGGTACAGTTGAATCAGTGCGTTCTCATCGGTCGTGAAGACAGAAGAGAATAAGAATGAAGGCGAGAGAGTTCACGAACCCAGCCAGAAGATTCGTATTGATTGAAGTGTGGGCGCCAACGGACGATTTGATAAATTACAATCGACGCCGTTGAACGCTACCGGATCATTCTTCGCCGGGTTTACAACTAATTCGCGTCGTAATTCGTGTCGTCGGAGCGGTGTCGAACGAGTCGTGAACAACGGAGGATACGAAGAGGCGATGATTAATGTAGCCCGATATGTTTTTATCAGCGTCTCGGGTGGTGCTTCTTTTGCCCGGCCAATCGATATTTTCGTTGCGATTTACGTAACTGTAGGAGAGTTCCGCGTTAGGGAAAATTTTATGATCGGAGGAGGTGATCTATCATCGGTTCTCTTCTGAACTTGACGCTTCCGATGGTATATTTTGCATTTTTCAATCGAATAACGTAACAGGGTAATTGTCATAACAATTTCTGGTAGAATTGAAATGTTCTGACATTTGTTTTCAACGACAAGGAAAAAGTATATTTGACCTAATCTTGGAGTTACATAATCATGACATATTTGATATTTATTTAGTCATATTCAATTAATTATATTCAATAATGATATGTATTTAATTATGATAGATTTGTTTTGACGTATTTAGCATGTATTTCGGTGCTTATCTCGAAGTGACTCATGTCGAACTAATCCAAACCTGACCTAACCTAATGACGATCTACTTTGGACTGAAACTAACTTTGATCTAATCCAATCGCATTAGTTGATGTAATTTGGCAACGTAACCTTCAGTTTACCTACCCTTAGCTGGTCGTTAAACTAAAACCATAACCTCATCACGAGCTGTATAACATTTTTTTAATCTGATCTGAACCTAATTTATCACTAGTTTGATCTTAGTAAATCAGACATGAACTAATTTGGACTAAACTAACTCAGATTTTTCTAAAAAATTCACAAACAAAACTAACCCTTGACTTAGCCCTATCAATCTGATCAAGTCTACACTTGGCTTAACTCTGATTTACCTGCGATTTAATTCATGCAAATCTTATCTGATTTCCATTACAATTAACAGACTTAACTAAACTATGATCTAAGTCAATCATAATTGAATTTGACCTAACCTGAGCACAATGAAATTATTTATAATCCCATGTAACCTGTATTTAATTAACCTTGACCATAACCTCCACAAAATTAATCTTGATCTAACCTGTACCAACTTAATATTGATATAACCTAACCTGCATCAAACTTCACCTAACCTAAGTTTTAATGTAGTTACAACATTTACAATAGTCAGTATTGTCGCTACAGTTTTTGGGTTTGAGGAAATTTATCTTCACCTTAATTAATTAAATTGAAGTCGACACATGAGTGCTATTAACACGCTAATAAGTTACAGTTGTCAATTAGACAGTATTGAAACTTCTACAGTACTTAACATTTTTCCTGCAACGTAGCCAACCACGATTGCAATCGAACCGACGGTTCGTTCACCCTAGCCGATTATGCGAATACGCAAACCGAACGATAAACGCGGTAACCCAGATTAATCGAGCCGCATAAATCACAATATACTGGCTCGTCTTTGACGGCCAATATTTTCTTGCCACCGTTTGCGGCTATCGTTCGTCCACGAAAATCGAGTTTTCCATCGTGGCGTCAGCTGAGCGTAAACAATTGTGTCTGACCCCATGATCCTCCGACTAGTACTCATTAATTTTATCGACGATACCGCAATACTTTCTGTGAATCTGTTACACTTATCGTTCACTTTTGCGCGTCAATCCAAGACATTTCTGTCTTGTTTACAACAACGATAGATCATTGTTCGAATTTCTTTCATCGTTCGAAATCGAAATCGTCTTATTTCTCGATAACACGAAAGTTTCATTCATCATTCTGATATAACTCTGTTTCACAACTTAATTACTTTCCTCTGCAATTCGTTCAAAGCTTCGGTTTTCATTTGTCGACAGACATTAAGGAGTGGTCTGTTTATTGCGATAGTAAATACCTTTCGTACAATTTTGCTGCACAACAGTCTGCATACATAAAATATTATTTTAAAATTGGTAATTTGTAAGACATGTGTTGTGAATTTTTTTTTCGGTAAATGGAACACTAATTGTTTCGAGAATAATGACTTTCATTGATTGTTTCGGATACTTTGTACGGGAAATTAAACGACCTGCGAAATTGCGAAATTAAACGACTTCACGTGTTATCTCATTATCAAGAAATTTATTTGAACCACTTCCGTATGGCCGAATACAAATGTAGCCCGATGGTCGAATTAACATTGAACTCGATTATCCAATTAAGATTAAACTCTCGTTTACAAGGAGCTACAAAATGCTCAAACTTCTCCCGCATCCTTAATGTTACCTCAGCGTGAATTCAAGTAACGAATTCTTTTTTTTTACGTTCACGCACAAGAGAACAGTGAACCAGAGTCACGGATCGACGATTAAGCGAAGATAATTAGTAAATTAATTAGCGAGCGGCGGCGACTTTAACAAGTCGTTCCGGGTACCTGAAGACGACAAGTATTCCCGAGAGATTGCGGTAAAGAACGTAGAACAACTTCAAATTCAGACACTGTTTCAAATGTTAATGATGTTGGTTTTTATTGAGGTTGAATCTGACGTTGCAGCTGTATCATTATTTAATCAATTGCGGCAGGAAACACAATCATCTGTTGCTATGGCAATTGAATTTTAATTGGTTCCGGCCAAAGAAATTATTAACTTTCAGCTGCGATGAAAATAATGAAATTTCAATCCTTTTGTGGATGAAAGTTTCATTGTTGGGAATGATGAATATTCACGGAATTTTAAGTCCATAAACATGTATAATATTTAGGGTAAAAAATTGTAATATTACTGTTTTGTACTAGCAGCTATAGGATAGAATATTATTTGACTGCTTGCATCACACATTTTACTCTATTTTTATGTTACATTAATTTGCATTGTATTATATACGTACCATGTCACGTATTATATTGCCAGGTACTATTCAAGACGCATTCAATTTTCTACGTGTTACATCACCATACCAGATTTGTTATGTATGTCAAAATATACTTTGCGTTTTATCGCCACGTATCCAATTTACCTTCCATTATATTACCGTGCGCCAAATTTACCACGTGTTATATCACCAGGCGTCGTATCATCAAGCGTCGAACTCACCACGCGTTATATCGCCACGTGCCAAATTCACCTTGCGTTATATCTCCACGTGCCGAATTTACCTCGCGTTATATCGCCACATGGCAAATTTACCTCGCGTTATAACGCCACGTGCCGAATTTATCTCGCGTTATATCGCAGATGGCAAATTTACCTCGCGTTATAACGCCACGTGCCGAATCTACCTCGCGTTATATCGCCACATGCCAAATTTACCTCGCCATATATCGCCACATGGCAAATTTACCTCGCGTTATAACGCCACGTGTCAAATTCACCTCGCGATATATCGCCGTATGCTAAATTTACCTTGCGTTATATCACCAAGTGCCAAATTTACCTCGCGTTATATCGCCATGTGCTAAGTTCACCTTGCGTTATATCGCCACGCGCTAGAATTACTATATGTTATATCGCCACGCGTTCTATAGCCACGTATTAAACCTTGATGCGTTCTATTACCATGCGTTGCATTATCATATCATCATACATAATCCATGCGTTATATCGCATTGGTTCCAATATAGTAAAAATATAAAAAATTATTACAGAAATTCGGTCGATGGTCTTTATTTCGACAGTGACACGAACCGTTGCAAAATATGCGTGCTTTTTAAAATCGTTGTGACGTCTAACGTTTCTTCTTTCGCAAACGTTCGCTAAATTTTATCGATTTTTCTTCTCGCGTAGTTTTCAACTACAGAAATTGCGTGCTTATAGTTTGACTCAAAAAATAAATGAAACAAACTTATAAAATTTGCCATAAGCATGATTGTACGTAATATTTAATCTTCACATT